AGAGGGGCTTTCGGAAAGGCATAGGGAGGCATAATGACTGTGAAGATCTCTGTGCCAGAGTCAAAGGTCAATCGTCTGCCATGGAGTGGTGGAAGACAGCAGTCGCCTTCTTTTATGCTGGTTTTAACTTGGTCCTGACCACAGTTGTCATCACTGTCGTCCACGAGAGAGTCCCACCCAAAGAAAGTAGCCCGCCTCTTCCTGATAAGTTTTTTGACTATATTGACAGGGTTAACTGGGCATTTACAGTGACAGAGATCAATGGCATGGTGCTGCTGGCCATTTGGTTGATCCAGTTGTTCTTCTTCAGATACAAGTAAGAACCATTTGTACTACCTATGGTACACATAGTTTTCTTTCAGCTTCAAGGATATATTTTGTGGTACTAGCGAACTGTCTTTCAAAAAGACCTGAAAAACATTAAATGGGTGAAGAAAGTGTAATTGCTCAGGTTACAGTTTTTTGTATTGCACAATGAAATACTTAACTTTTTGTGGTTATGTGCTAAAACTCTTTCCGTTACTCAGAAAATGCATCATATTACAGTCTATTGAGGCTACCAGTGATTGTGAAATTGTATTTCTGTCTTTTCCACAGTGGAGTTTTCCCTGTATGACACAAGCAATGTAGAAAGCATCTTTGCTCTCTACAGCTGACACCAAATCAGACCTTCACCACGGGGGTTTTAATATAGATAGCTGAAAAGAAGTTTGATTAAATTAATTAAAATGGGAATAAAGATATAGAAACAAAAGGCTAACCACAAAATGGGCTTAGCAAAGCAAGCAAAATCACCAGTAAAATTTCTAACATTGTAACAGCATATAATGGAGGATTGCCATTGTCATTATGTAATCTGGATACTAAACTAAATTTGACTGGCTGAAGAGCAGCCCTCAGATTTGACAACACGTTAACTCATCACTCTGTGCAAGGTAGCCTCCAGCATTTAGTAGATATACCGAGGCAGAAGTTTGGCAATGTATAACTTGTACTGCATATTCATGAGACCACAACAGTTATCCATCTCTCAGTTGTGACTCTAATATTGTCCATTTGTAGGTCAATAGCAAGCAGACGGTTCTTCTTCCTCATTGGCACCCTGTACTTGTATCGCTGTGTCACTATGTACATCACCACCCTGCCTGTACCTGGCATGCATATGACCTGTGCTCCTAAGGTGAGTAGTTGGATGCAAACATCAGAGCGGGTATCAACTGCCATTGCTCAGCCGTGCACTCTTGTGCACCCTCTGGGACTCATTTTGCACAGCCACGCAAGAAAGGCAGCTATAAAAAAGCCATTTTGACTTTTTACTGTCTCAGGACACCAACGATATTAAGGTGCATCAGTGTTTGATCAAAGACATGTGCTTCTGGCAGTTTGCCAAGGTCAGACAGTTTAGTAGTTGTTTTGTTCCCAAGAAGTGTTTTGAACAGCGTATGAAGGCCTTTAGCTACTAGTAAGAAGTGAGTTATCCTCAGCAATTTGAGCAACAAGCACAAGACTATCTAATTTATACTGCCTTTAGATCTTCTTCATTTTCACTACATGTTCAATTATTGTCAATTACCAGAGCAAATTATGTTGCCTAGATTTGAAAAATCTGAAAACTTAAGGAATGGTTTGACTTTTGGGGTCATGCGCTTATTCGTTTTCTTACTGAGAATTAGATGAGAAGATCAATATCACTCTTGTGTCTGTATGATAAATATGAAGCTACAGCCAGCTAGTCTAACTATTAGGGTTTCTATTTAATCATTTATCAAGCAAAAAGGCCAAACATTCTCTTATTTCAGAGAATCATTCTCAAGATTTGCTGCTTTTCGTTGATTTACATCACTGTAAATGTTATATCCTTTACTTTTGAACTGTCAGACAGACAAAACAAGCAATTTGAACATGTTATGTTGAACTCTGGGAACTTGGGATGTATATTTCTTTACTTTTTTGTGGCATTTTGTAGAGTAAATGATTGAATAATTGAGAATAATGAATAATTAATTATTCCACAAATGAACTGATAATGAAAATAATCATTGGTTGCAGCCTTAATGTTGCTGCTGATCCAGGGTTTATCTCTTTCTCCCTTTTTATGTCCACTTCCTGTTCTTTTTCAGCTCCATGGAGATTCTCAGGCAAAAATCCAGAGAATTCTGCGACTGGTCTCAGGTGGGGGTCTGTCCATTACAAGCTCCCATCTCTTGTGTGGAGACTTCCTCTACAGTGGGCATACTGTGATGCTCACTCTCACCTACCTGTTCATCAAGGAGTGTGAGTACTCAAAGCAGCACTTGTTTGTTGTGTGCTTGTATGGAATAATTTATTAAAATATTTATATGAATAATATATGAACACATGGACCTTCTAGGCACTAATAGGATATAAATACGGTACGTTCTGTGTGTTGCCACATTACATTTTCTCTTTTAACATTCAAATGATTTGTATTATTTGTTTCCAGATGGATTGTATATATTCTGTATAAATATGTATGTTCCTGGATATGCACTCATTTGTCAGTTTATGAGGTACATCAAACCAAAGCTATACAGTCGAATGCAGCAGCCCTGCAATAAATTGTAACTTATACTCATAATGACAGTTATGATGTTTAGTTTTAATTTAAACTGTTTTAGAGAGGTGTTAATATCATCAAAATGGTCATCTAGAAGATTGTATTTTCTGGTGCTGTTGAAATATGTTGTGTTTTGATGAGAAGTGTCTTCAAAGTTTTGTGCAGCACCTATAAAGTATTGTTAAGGGTAGACAAAATACACCTCTCAGTATAATGTAATACAATTCAAATTAAATTTCATTACATTTATTCCTTTAGCTGACACCTTTATCCAAAGCAACTTACAATTGCTATATATGTCAGAGGTCACACGCATCTGGAGCAACTAGGGGTTAAGTATCTTGCTCAGGGACACATTGGTGGACACACCAAAGGCATGGGTCTTGTCTACTGCGCCATTACCACCCCTGCAGCCACCTGAATGACCATGATTCAAATTCCAAATCATCTCTCTAAAACAGTTTCAACACAATTTGAATGTTATAACTTTCATAAAGGGATCTTTTTGCACAGCTTTTGCATTAGACTGCATTAGTTTTGGCTTGGCATAACTAATAAATTGGCAGTTGAGTGCATGCTGGGAATGTGGTACATGGTAAAGTACATACAGTATAAAAAAGTTTTCTGAAAATGCAAAAATATGTTGTGAGGTTGAGTTATTACATTCAGTGATTAAGTTGTTTTAAGTTTCCCCTATGACTGTGTTTGTCTGTGTGTTGCAGAAAATCCCTGTGTTCTTGCCACACTGCTCTGAAATACTACAGACTTACTACTTAATACAGAAAGTGCAAACATGGATGAACAGACCACAAATGGATGTTGTCATAAATATTCACAACACTCTTTTCTTTCCTTCCCTAAGACTCACCGCGGTCATTTTGGTGGTACCATCTGATGTGCTGGGTGCTGAGTGCTGTGGGCGTGGTGTGCATCTTGGTGGCACATGAGCACTACAGTGTAGATGTGGTTGTGGCCTATTTTATCACCTCCCGTCTGTTCTGGTGGTACCACACCATGGCCAACTTACAGGTCAGAACACAGAGCTGAACACTGGGTGGCTGTTTGTGTTTGTGTTGGAGTGCAAAAAAGTAAAAAAAAATAAATAAATAAAGAGCTTTCCCTCTCATTGCACATCAATGAATGATGTTACACATTAATCTGGGCTGGCCTTTACTGTCTGTCTGGCTGTATTTTGTTGTTTACCTCAAGAGTACCAGTTAAAGATTACATGCCAACACAAGAATTTATTGCGTTTTTTAAAAGGAAATGGTTGGTATATTACATGTAATTATATATTTATAGTAAGTACAAAGTAGTATATCTTTAGACTGTGTGTCAAAAGTCTCTGGATGTCATTCCCTCAGTCAGTATATGGCTTTCAACATGGTGAATTACCCCCTCTACTGGTCAAAAAAATAGACAGACAGTTGAGATGGAGTGGTGCCAAGCAAAATTATGTATGGCACAGTTAACATGGATAACACATTGAATTTTTTTTTTAAATAATTAAATATCACAATCTTGTCCACTGAGTGCAAATAAGATTTTTTGTCCTCTATTCTTCTACAATTATTTACTCAATTAAAGGAGATGGTTCTGTAATATCTACAATTTGCATATTGACTCCACTATAAAAGAGAAATTCAAAAATGCCTAATGTCTACTTAAATAAATGCACTGTTTACTGATTATATACTGTTTGTCTGTTCATGTGCTGTTCAGGGAGTGTTATAGGATAGGCTCACAATTTATTAAGTCTGTCTTTAAACAGTTGTCAGGTGCACATATACACATTGCTGTTTATTCTGTCTTTGAAGACACCCATTCTTAATGCATTTCCAATGTAAGATGCAAAAATACATTTCATTTTTTTATGTAAAGCTAATATGGGGCTTCAGCAGACTTCCCTCTTTGTATTTCTATCACTCTGGCTGAGCATGGAAACACTGGTGAAACAAATAGAGGGAATTCTGTACTAAAAAGGCAAATTTTGGCAAATACCCACTGATATCCATGATGATTTGCCTGCTGAAGCCTCATTTTAACTTAAGATGTGTGGATTTTGTCCCCTATCTCCTCTATTGGAAGCTTGCTAGGAAGGGACCTTTTGATGGCAGGTATGAACAGTAGGAAAGACAACAGCAAGCAGAAACTGTTGCAATGTACTGCACATATGGGCACGAGTATTGTTTTAAGACAGGCTTTAAAAGAAACCTTTGGCGACTGTGATGCAACTTTTTACAAAACCACTGTCCTTGACAGCAAAGCAATGACATCATCACTGAAGCTGTACATCCTAAATCTGAAATGCAAATGCATGAAAAGCAAATTTTAAATTACATAGCAAGTCACATTATGAAAAATAGAAGAGAAGTGCTGTTGTTATCAGCAGAACTTTGAGCTACATAGCTTGTATGAAGGAAATATATAAACAAAAATGTTATTGGTTGTTATTAGTATATCATTTTGAAAGATAACTTTTATTTCTTGACAGACTCTAAAATGCTCGCCCAACAACTACCTCACCAACACCTGGTGGAACCCACTGTTCAACTTCTTGGAGAGGAATGTCCAAACCTCAGTGCCATGCTCTTACAGTTGGCCCATCACCTGGCCCCCTGCCTGCCTTAAGAACCCCTGCAAGAAGTACTCCATGGTACAGAGCACACGAGAGGAATGACATGACCCTGATACCCCAGCAGTGTGGCCTGGTAATCCGCTGAAGTCGTATTTCTTCATTCCAACAACAAATGCATAGCTATGAAAGAAATGTTTTTTTTCTGCAAAAATGTGTCTAAAAGGTTAATCATATTGTCTTTGTGTTTTCTTTGCCGATGTAATTTATTTGCGAGATACAGTCCTGCAAAGCTTTCATTGATACTTGCGTCAGCTCCTAGTGACTTTCAGACATGAACGGACAGTTTTCTCCAATTGAGCATTTGCGAGACTTGATTTTAGATCTGCTGTAGCTCTTTCATACAGTGTGTGTTGACGGGGTTTACCTCAATATGATATCAATGTACTCAAGTCACAAGGTGCCTTAGTGTGTTTAACGTCAGTAGGTGTTCCAAAACTGCCATTACATGTTTTGGTGTATTTGTTGTTTTTTCTATGAGTTTATTATTATTATTATTATTATTATTTTAGTAGACTTGAGTGTGTATATCCTAGCTTTAGTCCCAACATTGTACTATTGTATTAAAATGAAACCATATAAATGCTTGAGTGTGTTTTTTGATATAATGAAATCATCAGTCAAAGTCATCTTTATATATATGTATATGTAAAGATACAAGTTTTCATTATGAACTTTATGAAATGTTATCACATTTTGCATCAAATATTTTACTAAATTTGGATTAAATATTTAATACGGTCTCTTTGGTCCTATTATTTGATTTAAACAAAAATGCAAATTTCAATGTAATTTGCAGTTGCAACAAATATATTGACAAGTTTATACAGATTAAGAACAAAGAATACTAAGAGAAACAAATAAATCAGAAGAACTGATGGATTAATGTACAACTTTAGTCACAAACAACGAAAGTAATGAACAAATGGCAAGATAAAGCCCATTTGATTAGGTAAATAATTTCAGAACATTAGTAATGATGTTAGTGATGTAATTGTTCAAACTATAGCTATATATTTTTTTTACAATAAAGTATTAGACTACTATTATTGGCTATTTTAATCTCTGAAATGTAACTTAGACAAACAAGGTCCACGCCAATATGAGGTATAAAAAGGGTAGTTTATTTGGATAATGAGGAGTATTTACATGGGCATAAATTTCATCTCACAGTAGGGGGGAACAATAAACATAAAATTTCTCGAGCAATTTTTGAAAGGGACACAAATAATACAGCCAAAATTGTACTTGTATAGGATATGGGTACACAGAGAGAAGTCTTACTACTATTTTTCCAACAACTGAAAGCTATATATATTAGATATTTAAGGGCAGCAGGCCAACTGATCTTCCTCTACAACGGTAGGTCTACGGTATCAGCATAATGTCGGTTCACACACAGGATTATCGCTGTAGTAAGAGATGCACAGATTACATTTTTTGCCCGATTCCGATTTTATTTCTAAGATCTATAACTGACAGCACAAACATTTTTGTAACTATTTATTGGAAAAATCCAATTAGGATCCCCATCAGCACCAGTATAAATGTTAGCTATTCTCACTGGTCTCAATTGTATGGTCATAATGAAACATTGATTATAAAATAACATTAGCATAACATTAGCATTAGCTGCCAGTTATAACTTTTGTCACGATTAATTTATTAATGACTCAGCATCATCTGTATTTCAGACAAAAGAATCAGTTCATCCAATTTTTAAAGTGCATCAAACAGCCCTGCCAGCCTACTTGACATTACTGGAGTTCCACAACTACTGATTTTCTGCCACCGGACTCCTGTGATATCTCTTTTCCACCAAAGCATTTTGAGAGCCGGTTCGGAGCCGGTGCCTACTCACGAACCAGTTCTTTGTGTTTCGACAGCCAAAGAACCGGTTCTCGGCCAGGAAAACTGGTTCCAAAGCGGCACCAACTCTTAGCTGGACTAGAACCGTTATTTTACCATGTCATGCTTACTAAAACGTGTTCGAGGAGATCCAGAGGGAGATGGCTACAGCGGGGTTTAACAGAACCAAGCAGATCAATAACAAGTTAAAAAAAACTAAAAAAGAATTACAGGGACCAAAAGAAGGAGTTGGGGCGAAGTGGAAATGGATGGCCACATAGTAGAAATCCCCATTTTGAGGTTTTGGACTTAGTCCTCGGCGACAGACCGGCGTGCCAGGTCACCGGGGCATTAAATTCTGCCACTGCCATGCTAGAATCTATGGTGGATGAGACGCTGCTGAGGGTATTGCCAACAACGTTACTGATTCTGGTAAGTTTAACTTTCCTAATGTTTTACCTTGTTGCAAACCAACTATACATTTCTTATAGCTGTGTGCTTTACCAGCCAGTCAGCTAGCTAGCATGTTGTTGCTAACAATCGCTAACGCTGACACTGTATAGGGTGCAATGGAAACGTTTGTGATTTAAACACTGTCTTATTTTTGTTGTTTATAGAGTTGTTGGGCATTGATGATTGTGAACCTGACTGGGAGCTACCGCTACCACTCCACTGCATTACCGTCTTGCAGCTCAGCAGCTGAAAACTCCTCATCTGCCTCTTCCACTCAGTCAACCAGAAAGGGTAAGGATTCTTGTTATGAGTATCAACAAACTGAAAAATATCAGTCTTCATTAAATAATTCACTGCAGATCTGTTGTATTTGATTAAATTGCATGAAGTGCCCAATAAGTGTGTACTAATGGTAGCGTAGGGATATGATAGTAGACATACGTTATAAGGTGTATCAGTGTAGTATTATAGTATCGTATAATATTATTTTGTTAATATGTTGCATTGACTCTTGTGTTAGATTCTTTACAATTGCAAAATACACGAAGATCTGTGTTAATTGTAATGTTTTTTGTGCACAGGCAAAAGGAAAAGAGACAAGAATGGGGAGCTGCTGGAATATTTTGAGAGGTCTGACGAAAGGTTCCTGCAGCACTGCAAGGAAATGAATGATACCTTGCTGAAGAAAATGGATGCAGACTCAACTGCAATGCTTGGACTCATGGAGCGTATGGTCACGGTGATGGAGAGGCAATCCCACTGATGAGTGCTACTGAATCAGAAAGAAACTATGTTGTACACACTGCACTGCACACACTTCATTATTTTAGTCTTTGCACAGTGTACTTTTGCAAAAAATAAATGTTTTCTGAAGAAACATGTCTGCTGTAGTATGCTTAATCAACAAACAAGAAGAACAAGAAGAAGAAACAAATGCAAGTAATCAAGGTTAAAAAAAAATGTTTTTATTTACATTTGTGCAGATTAAACACTGCTGCATTTCAGGAAACCAGAAAGAGGGAACTATTAACTCAGCAAATAAACATAAAAATGTTACATCTGGTGTTATGGCAGTTTAATTATTTAACAAAAATACAACTCAGCTAGAATTACAATGTATGGCAGTGGTGCAGTAAGAAAAAAAGAAATCAGTCGTTCCCTCTACAAAAGTACTGTATTAACGCAGCTCTGATGTCAGCCCCTTCTTGATTACCATGTTCAGGTAGCGCCTGGATAGGAGGCTGAATGTTTATAGGCCTGTCTTGATGCTCCTCTGTAAAGTTGTCCCCATGTTCCTGACAAATGTTGTGAAGCACACAGCAGGCGAGTGTCATTTGCTTGCTCAGCTCCAGCTTGCAGTCATTTCTTTTTAGGAGGCACCTCCATCAACCTTTTAGTCTCCCAAAACACATCTCCACAACTGACCGTGCACTGCTCAGCCGGAAATTGTAGGTCTGTTGTTCATGTGTAAGTCTGCCAGTGTCTGAAAAGGGCTTCGTGAGCCAGTTCTACATAGGGTAAGCTGGGTCACCAATTAGATAATGTCCAACATCACACCCAGAGATGTTCATTTTGTTTTGGCCTAATAACTCCCCGTCATTCAGGACTTCCCACAAATGTGACCGTCTCAGTACTCTTACGTCGTGAACACTACCTGGATAGCCAACAAATACATCCCATCAACCACTGCTTGGAGAACAATTGAATGCCATCCTTTCCAGTTGTAATAGTCTCTAGGGTACTCCTCTGGTGCTATTACAGGGATGTGACTTCCATCTATTGCTCCAACACACTGTGGTACTCTCCAACGATTCTGAAAGAATGTGGCTAGTTCTACAAACTTGTCAGCGTCAGGAAATGAAATGTGCACAGGAAGCCGCACCTTGTTGACTGCGTAGCAAAAGTCCTGAACACAGTTAAACACAGTGCTGAGGCCTACCTCAAAAAGATGGCTTATGGTCCTGTATTCGATGCCGGTGGCCAGTTTCCAGATGGCAATTGCCACTCGCTTTCGGATTGTGACACGCATACGATAATTTGTGTTCCTTCTCCCCATGTCAGGCCTGACTCGAGCACAGATGTACTCAAATGACTCCCGGGACACTCGGAAATTCTGCAAAAACTGTTGAGCGGTGAAATCCGGAACAATTGTGTCCGTGCTGAGATCGTGGGTGTGCCCAGACAACAGGCCGTCTCTGTCTTGCGATGTGCCGCAATACTAACGTTGCTTGTAAAGATAAAAATCAGTGCACAATTTTAATTTTTTTTTGATTTCCAATGTAATCTATTGGTAGTCTGTCCTACCAGTACATACTGTAGCTAACGTTAGGGCCATTTGAGCTAGCGGCCTTGCATTTGCTTCCAACAAGAGCTAACATCAATAATATGAATCGTACATGTTATATAATTCTTCTCGAACGTAACCTCCGTCTATAGTAATCCAGACAAGCAGCACAAATGTGTTCTAAACGTCTTCTTCTGGCCCCAATATAGGATCGCAAAGCCAGGAGAAATATTTGCAGAAAGACGATGTAGTCCGACATTGTAACTGTTATGCTTGAAGTTGGCGCAAGCGTTTCTGGGAAGGCTAAGACGTATTGCGACCTACACAGTGACGTGATGATGTCGTTCGCTGGGCTCTCTAGTCAGTGGAAAAACAAACAGGTTCTGAGAAGGTTCGCAAGTTGAACCAACTTTGAACCAACTTTGAACCAGCACCAGTTCCGAACCAGTTCTTTTTTGGTGGAAAAGGGGTATGAGAGAGAAAGCAGGCAGTGGACCAAACCACTGTGAGGCAAGAGAGGGGGGCTCAAAATGTTTCTAAAGTTAAAAAGCACTTTAATTGCCCTGTTTGCGTTTGTATTGTTTTACTATTTACACAAGGCTATTTTAAGTATATATCATTATATTATTTTATGTTTTTTAAGGGGGGGACACCCCTCAGATAGGGTCCCCGTCCCCCCCGTGATTTCCGCCTATGAATTATGATGGCGGGATCGAGGGGAGAGGGATAAAGGGGTCGAGGATGGAGGGATGAAGGGGTCGAGAAGGGGGGGATGAAGGAGGTTGTTTAGGGTTTGGTGTCTGGGGCAGCTAGGAACCGGGGGTCAAGACTCACAGGGTGTTTCTCAAAACCAACAATGCAAAGAACGGACTTGTGTTCTTGGGGAGAATGTTCTTGCTAGTCGTTCTTGGAAGAATGAACTTGCAGAGCACACAAAACGCTGCTGACGGTTTGAGACGATGCGTTTTTGCTGGTATTGCGCAATACCCCAAGCGCAGAGGTCGCCTGCATTGCTCTAAATCGCTCT